TTACTTTTGGTTTCCCTTGACCACCCAACCCAAAAACAACTTGTACCCCAAAATGGGGGGTCGGGTTTTACTTTTGGTTTCCCTTGAACAAGAATCCAACCCAAAGCCAACCCAACAATTTCCAAGCCAGCTTGAAGACCCAACCCAAAACCATTTCCCACAAGACCGCCGTCCAGGTAGCATGGCCCGTGTCTCAGGTTCCTGCGCCACGCCGTGGACCTGCTCCTGGCCGGGGACGCTGAGGCCGCCGACCGCGGCTTGGAGATGACTTCGGGGGCCCTTGGGGCCCTTCCGGCCTTCGGGGCGTTTTGGGGTCCGGGCCCGTCCTTGGAGGGTTCCCATACTCACTTCCTGAGCTCATGAACTTTAAACTTTTTGGGAGGACCATTTTAGTGGTACAGAAAAAGTTTGGACTTTTTTGGGGCCATCCACTCAGCCAGTGAGCATAGGTGTCCTTCTTAGTTGGTTTGCTTAAACAATAGAGGGCCCTGGTTTAGATGAGGTTTCTTCCATTTACCAGGGCCATCTATTTTTCCAAAAGGCCACCTAAGAGGGTTCCCCTATGTTTGGTTCGTTTTCAAGGGAAACCAAGAGGACCAAGAGGACCAACAAAGCCATTTTGGGGGGGTCACCAAAAAAAGACACGCGCACATGTGCCATGGACAAAAGATCCGGGCACGGTGGTTCTTTCATTTGAGACAGACCATCTGTGTTCCTGAAAGGTTTCCTTTTGAGCACATTGAACCACGACCCAGGTCTTTCCGGTAATCTGTGAGCCGGGCGTGGCGACACATTGGGACCCGTGGTAGCTTCGGCCAGAACTTTCAAGTCTCCATCAGCTCCCGACCTGGTCTGTTGGCCCCAGACAGCCATTTTTGGAGGGAGATTGGAGGGCATGTGGGTCCCAAAAGAACGCTGCCATCTCTCCTGCCTTGTGACGCCTTGACCAGATGGCTGACATTTCTTCACTTGAAACACATGGCCGGTGGAGTGCGGGGTTGCGCAAGATCTGATTGAGCCCCTTTCTTTTTTGCTGATGGTTCAGCGAGAAAAGAAAGCCCCCCCGGAAGGAGATACACAGGAAGCCGAAAACCGTCCCCTAGGAGTGAATCAGACGTCGGTCCCTTCATGCTCGTGGTTTTAGGGCACATTTCTTTTTTTTTCTTCTTTTTTTAAATGAAGGGGCCTCAGAGAAGACACGGTTTTCCGCAATATCTCGCAAAACGGTGGGCCGCAAGTGGGGAAACTGCAAGGACACCCCAACCGCAAGGACCCCTCGCCCATTTCACCATCCGAAACCCTCAAGCCCAACATTCGGAACACCCTTAAAAGAGACCCATGAGGAAAACCCCTACTTCTTTTTTTAAAAGCATATCGTAGCACGAACCCACTTGGGAGAGCCTAAATGATTAGAATTCGGGCTAAGGAGGACTTTCATGATCATTCTGGAGGATGATGTGTCTATATTCACATACATGCACAGAGATAGACACACCTATATATATGTATATATGTATATATATATATATATATATATATATGTACACGTATATATATATATATATATATATCTATGTTGTGTGTGTGTGTGTGTGGTGCGTGCGTGCGTGCGTGCGTGCGCGTGGCGGCGGGCGGGCGGGCGGGCGGGCGGGCGGGCGGGCGGGCGGGCGCGGGCGGGCGGGCGAGCGGGCGTGCGTGCGTGCGTGCGTGCGTGCGTGGGTGGGCGGGTGGGTGGGCGGGCGGGCGGGCGGGCGAGCGAGCGAGCGGGTGGGTGCGTGGGTGCGTGGGTGCGTGGGTGCGTGGGTGCGTGGGTGCGCGGGTGCGTGGGTGCGTGGGTGCGTGGGTGCGTGGGTGCGTGGGTGCGTGGGTGCGTGGGTGCGTGGGTGCGTGGGTGGGTGCGTGGGTGGGTGGGTGGGTGGGTGGGTGGGTGTGTGTGTGTGTGTGTGTGTGTGTGAGAGTGTGTCGGGTTTCCCCGGGCGCCCATTCGTCCCGTTCGGCCCCCTTGCGCCGCGCCGCGGCTCGCCGCCGATGCCTTCGCCTTTGAGGGGACGAGGAGACGAAGGAGCGCCAGGCCGCCTGGGCCAAGGCGCAGCAGTCCATGGCATCGCTGAAGCGCGAGGACCGCCTGAAGCCTCAGATCGCCGAGAGGAGCCCACCCGAAACGGGGAAAGCGGGGCGAAGACCGGTTGAACTTTCCCTTCAACCGCGGAGTGACTTGGAGGAGGGGAATTTCCAATGGATTTTTGGTGTTCCGGTGAACCAAATATTGACCCTTCATTCATAAACCCTCAGTTGCGGGCTGACACCCTGAAAGAAAGAGGAATCCCCACTAAACAGCGACCCCTTTAATACGCAGTGTCGACATGGGGGTAAGTTCTGTAAGTTTAAAGGTACAGAGTGCTGGGGGTCCCAATCCTGGGCGAAGATTTTGGGGTAGGTTTCTCTTCAGGACCCTAGGTCTGGGCGAGGGCATATGGAAATGACTGGCTTCGTGTATGGACCTAGGTTTATTAGAACCCCCCCCCTCCTTTGTGTTATGGAGGATGGTCGCACTCAATACAGGCCCATCACCGGCGGGTGTCTTCCACGGGGAATCTGGAGCTGTGAACATGGAAGGTCCCCCCGTCAGAGTTGGGGGTTTCTCTTCAAGCAGCAATCAAGATGGGGGGGGGGGAAGATGGCAAGATTTTGGACCCGCAAATGCCCACCCATTGTTTGTTCAACATAGATAGCACCCCCAAAGATCCCGGGGACTGCAAGAGGCTGGGCTAGCCGCTTGCGAGTTTCCCCAAGCTTCCCTTCGAGGTGAGGACCTCGCAGATTGCTTGAGATACCTGCAGCAGCGGATAGGCGTGGGCACACAGGGGGGTTCTGTTTGGCCGGGAAGTCCACCCTAAGGATTCTCGGGCTGAACCGCACTCGCTGAGTTTATGGACCGTACACTTTTAAGAGCGTTGTAGTGGTAAACAAGCAGTTCATCCGACCAATCAACTCAGGAAGTGTCCCATACAACTCGAATTTCATGAAAGAAGTCTTGGAAAGGGCTTATTGTCGGGCCCCCCAATCCCTTGATCGGACCCGGGCAACTTGATCAAAGAGCAGCTTAGCAGATCAGATCAAAGAGCACCAAGCCCCTCCTTCCCTTGACCCGCCGCTTGCTTCTGCTGTCCAGATCCCTTTCGGAAGGCTCTGTTGTCGCTCGTTTTCGCTGTGTTTGAAGCACTAGTCACCAGAGTACGGCCAGTTCTTCCAGTTGCCACTTGTAGGTACCTTCGGAAAGCCTCAGGGTGGCTCGCGTGTTTCGGGGCGCCTAAAGAGTTTGGTTCCGCAAAAAAAGCAACTGCGCCCGGCAGCACCCGGCGTCGGCTCAAAGGTTCGGTGGCGGTGGCGGTAGCGGATCCTGTGGGGTCTCTGCCATTCCCGGGGGTTGGCGCCCGCCGTTCGCGCTCCAAGAGTTAGCGCCGTGCGCAACCCAAACCTTTGAGCTACCAGTTGACCTACCTCGACCCTCGACCCAGCCTTAAGACACACGCACACATATATATATATATATATATATGTATACATATATATATATATACACATATATCATCTCACAACCCCCATCCACGAGGACTTTTTGACAGAAAAGGGTGGGTCATGCAGGGGTTGTGACCATATCTCTATATATATATATATATGTATAGTGACGGGCCAAAGTGGTAGGTGAATTCCCCCCAAGTTTTCTCCCACTACTTGGCCACCCGACTTGGAGATCTCGAGGCGTGCCGCGGGACATGTCCCTGAACGCCGCCCGGCGCCTGCGCGGGGAACTGGGGAAGATGATCGCGGCGCTGTGAGACGACCGCGCTGGACGGCTGAGTGACAGGTGTGCCCATGTGTGCCCTAAAGATTGACTCAAAAACATGCACAGAAAATGAGATCTTCGGATTTCTGAGATCTTCGGATTCTGCTTCATATTTGGTCTACTGAAAGTAAAAGATAGAGTTTTGGAGGAGACCTTGGTAAAGTCAAACTTGGCCCTATTGAGGCTTACCAATCCCGAACCCTTGGAGAGGGGTTGGCAGGGTCCCTGATTTCAGGCATCGATTCCCACTACATTTTGTGTGTTGGGGCAACTGGTTTTGGTGTCTTCAAAAAAGTTGTTTTGAACTGCCTTTGAGGACGGGCCGGGGAGGGTGTCTTCAGTCATTGCCCCTAAGTTTCTCGTGAGATGGGCGGGTGGGTGGGGAACTTACGGGTAGCCTGCTGGAAATGCTCACTCAGGAGTCCTTGTGTGACGGGGGGGGCTCTTGGGAAGGCCGAAGGCCAAGCTGAAGTGAGCGGTTTTTTAAACCATAGAGGGTACCCGGGCTTTGCAACACGTGCTTGAATTCTAAGCATGCAGGCTTGTTTCAAGCAACATACCTTGCATATGTTGCATTGACATTGGGTTCACCGTGGCAACGATATTTTTCGGGGCAGATGGAACAGTTGTTTTTCTTTTTGTCAAGGGCACGCCTCACAGTCACTGACCAGAATCACTTGCTCGTGCCAGGTTGGCATACCTAAAGCTTTGGTCATGGAGTTAGTGTCGCACTTGTTTGTAACACCCCTGAACAGAGATCCAGTTTGACCTTGACGACCAACAGAAAAGGGGATCAGCGACAACAATCGTGACAACTTCTAAGGCTCAAGTGTAGTTTGTTCACGGCATTGCGCTTAGCTGAAGTTCTTCTGTGCTTCACCTCTCCGTGTCTGCCCAGACATGTCCGTCGGGAAGGGAGCCGGCAGTGGGTTTTCCCCGCGCACGAATGGCCGCGGGCGGTTTTCGATCGGCGCGTCCGAAGAAAAAACTGTGAGAGGAGGTTTCAGCTAAAACTGCAGGCTGTTGCCATTCAGTCACTAAAAGGGACACACCCGTGGCGTTGCCAAACAATGGACCCTTTTGGACCGGTGCCGCCTTGTGCCGCCTTCAGGGGATACCAAGAGGGGGCTTCCAAAATTTGACGTGGCACGAGGTCGGCGAGCGTGCCTGGCTATGAAGCGGTGGTGGGCCGCGCGCTTGAGGCCGCGAGAACCCGCCATCCGGCGAGTGCGCCGGGCGTTGGCCGCCGCCAAGGGTTCTTTGGGCTTTTGGGGGGCGGGGAACAGGGGGGGAGGCTTCCAAACCAACCAGAAACTTTTGGCTTGAGGGGGGGGGCATGGACTCCACACCAACCCAACAAATCCTTGAAAAGAACGACGCGCTCATATGGCTAGCGGCCATTGAACTTTGGTTGGAGACGAACCTCCGTGGTAAATGTCCACCAAAAGGCGCCCACCTTTGTCAAGGATGTTGCTTTTGGTCCAAACCCGTCAAAAGAGCCCCATCATATTGATCAACCCCATACGCCAGGCGTTTTCGTCTGAAAGCGTGTTTCCTTGCCGTTGTCCGTTGTAGAACCCACAAAACCCCTCAGTTTGACGGCCGAAGACGTGAGAGCTGGGCGCCTTTGGGCGAGGTGGAGGTGAAGGCCCTGGACGAGGAGGGTCGGCAGGTTAGCTTTGAGGCGCGCGGCTGGCAGGCGCGCGGCTTCAAACGCTCACCGGGCGAGGAGGTGGACCTGGTCAAAGCTTTCACGAATCACAAAGCCAGGCCGTTTCAAACCCCATCCGCACGGGGCTCCCTATGTTGTTTTTGGTTTAGTGGTTTTGAAAAACATCAGATTGTTGGTCCCTTTTTGAAGTGAGTTTCCTTGGAATGATGTTTGAAGGGGACATGTGGCCTGGAGCAAACCACCTGCAAGAAAGCTCGTACATCCACGCCAAACTATCATTAAAGCCGAAATCAACCATGACGCAACAAAGGTGGCGAAATAGGAAGCCCAAATCGTCAAGAAGTCTATCGGCAGATGCCAGGGTTCGTTCAACCACCTGTTGGAAGATGTGTAAACCATTGGAGGGTGGCAATTCCATTTGGTCTGGCTGCTGATCAGAAATACAGGTGCTTCACTTCCTTTGAAGGGTCCAACAGTCTCATTCTTCGGGGTGGTTGGTTAAGGGCTCGTCTAAGGCTTGTTTGGGGAAGACTTGGTTTTTTGAGGGTGGGTGCGTGGCCTGGCTTCGGATCGGTTTAGGTTTAGGAAATGTTGAGGGTACCTTGTTCAGGCTGCTGCGAAGGGAAACAAAGAATGCAAAACCCCAAAATGTTTGGTGAGGAGTGGTGGCAATAGTTGGGTCCCTCGACACAACATTTGTCGAGTTGCTCGATCTAGGGTTTCCACAGCAAACACATGACACATGGTCAGGGACAGAGCTTTTGCTCGATACGCGCAATACTGCAGACCCTGTGAAGATTGCGCAGATTTCAGGAGGATCCTGAAGATCCCGCAGGGCCTTGAGTTGCTGTTTTACGATCGGCGTATGGTTGAGGGTTGGTCTAGGCATGTTTCAGCTTCGTTTAAGGCTGGTTGTCGCTGCTGATCGCTTGAGAGCCCAAACGCACTCTGCAAAGGTAGGACACACCACCTACCAGCTGGTGCAAGAGTTGGAGTATGAAAGCCCAGCTGGCTTTGCTCGTTCTCGACATGGAAATCCGAAAGCTTTCCAAACCTCAAAACCCGGGTTTTGGCTTTGTAGGAACACGGGGAGTGGGTTGAAGGGGAGAGGCGAAAGGCGCTCTCGGGAGCATTACTTCACGCCCCGAGCCCAGCTGAGCATTGGCAGGCGAGGCAGCTGCAACACGTGGCCGACCTGTTGGATGGAGTGCTGTACGTGGATCGCCTTGGCCCTGAGGTCTTGCTGGCGTTGCTGGCTTGGGGATGATGAGAATTGGGAGAGGTTTCTTTGGATAATCCGCTCCCTTGATCTGCCAGGGCTTGCTCTGGTTTTGATACCCTTGGCAATGGCAACTTCGGACTTCTCCGGACCTAGTACGAGGAACCTGCTAACACACCCACGATCAGTACGGTCGGACGAATCCGAAGTTAACCTTATACTCAGCTGGCTCCATATGGACATGTCTCAAAATCCAGTTCCTCTCAGCTGACGCTTCTTTCCCGTCGGCTTGATTCGGTTTCCCTTCAAGCCAACCCCAAACATGGAATCCTCAAAAACGGACGAGCCACCCATGTGCTGATTGAGAGGGCTTACTGGACTTGCAACCTTGCGAGTGGCGAGCCGAGTCTGAGGCATGGAGAGGAGATCTTTCCGGCGAGACAACATGGAGGAGCCAGCCTGATGGATCTGAACGCACGACGGTGGATGGTCGCAAAATCCGTTCGCACCAAGTTGAAACCATGGTTGAAACCAAAATGGTTTCAACATGGTTCGTTGGTGTTTACAAGGGAATCATGGTTGCCAAATCGGATCGCACCAAAGAGATGGTTAACCCCTTAGGGGAAATTGGAGACAACCTAACTCCATGGGAACCTCGAAGGTGGACACATAAGGAGCTTCCACGGTCACACATGGCTTGTCAAGGGAAGTGTTATGCTTGCTTCCCCAATTCCAAGCACCGAAACGGATGTCCCTTTTGAGGCACGCGCAGACACATGTTCTTTGGATTTCGGTCATTCCTGTTGTTTTGATCCAGGGCGTGTATTTCCCTGACTGCTGTAGAGCATCGGGCTCTCCATCCCTGAGATTTCCTCTCCCCCAACCCAGCGGGCAAAGAAATGGTATTTTTGCCTCGCCACTTCGCGGAATTTCTCCCAAAGCTCTGGGATTGTCAGGGCGGATGGGCTTTCAGGAAGACCTGCCGGAGGCGGTGCCCTATGGGGTGAAGGCAGCAAAAGCGAAGGCGAGGAGAGGGCGTGGACCAGCCGTTTCCCCCATGTGATGTGTCAAAAATAGGGGTCCCCCCGCAAAAAATGGGGCTTTTCCCAGATGGCTGAAAGCTAGAGGGGTTCGAACTTCTCACGAGGGGAAAGTGCTTTGCGAGCTTGACGGCTCGGTGCTAGGGGGCATGAGGGATGGTGAGGGTGGCATTTTTGCCAGATTGACGGCAGGGGTGTTAGGGGTAATGCAGTTTGGGGCGCTGGTGCACATGCTGGTTTGGGGTGGTGCTCACACGACGACCAAAGATATCTTGGGTTCATGCTTCTTTTCCTTAAACAAAAGCAACTGGCACGCACACAAGTGACAACCGCAAGCGCGGAGGCGGGCTTCTTTTTTTTCAACAGCAATTTGCCCGCCCGCATCCATCATTCGCAGCTGGCAGATAGGTGGTTTTTGCTGCAAGCCCCCAGTTTGACCAGCATCCCACAGGAAACCCACAACCCCACAATGAAAGCACCGATCCCAACTCTTATTTGTCTCAAAGAGCCTTCGTTGCGCTCTCAGCGGACCTGTCAGAAGCAGTCCATGCTGAAGGTGTTTCTCAGGCAGTTCCGTGCCCGTGCCTTTTTTTTGGGCGGGGGGGGGATTGTTGAAGGGGGGCTTGATGTTTCCAGCGCCAAAGGCTGTCCACCCTCCCAAGAATAGGGACTGCAGCCCCTCCGCCCCTATCCCCTCCCCCGCGAAACACCCATCAAGCATCCCCCACCATTCTGGCCGTCAGTCTTAGTAATGTTGATCCCTGATTAACAAACTTCCCCAGTTATCAATCAGGGGCTCCTGGAAGAACAGAATCCCAACTAAAAAAAAAGAAGACCCCCCTGAACAAGTGGGGCAAATAAACTCAGGGCTTGACATTGCTCAACCTCTGACCCTCGGACTGGGTCTCTTCGGTATCAACGCCGCTCAGCTTTCCCGCCAGGCCAGCGCAGGCTTGGGAAGTGGGAGGATGGACGTCTTTCCGGCGCTCGATCACTTCCGGCTTGGTTTGGCGGATCTGTGTTTCATGTTGAGTTTCCCTCCCCACCAAGCAGGGTTCGAAAGACGCAGGGTTTGATTTTTTTGGCGGGGGCTCAAAGACAAACTTGCTAAACCGTGGCGGGGTTCCATGTGGTTCCCTGGAGCGCCATTCCAGAGGGGCCCCGCGTCTACATGGATCCCGGGTTGAGGACCCGCGTTCAAATGGCGCGCCGACGTCCCACGGTCCCACGATTCGCCGGGCTGTTGGTTTTATGGAGGTGAGAAGAGTCTGGCCTTGGTTCATAGGCGTGGTGCCACTGTTTTCGGCTTTGTTCCATCAGTCTGCACCAAGCAACCGGGAGCCCCCAACCAGATGCCTTCTGCTGGCGCTTTGTGCTAGGCCGGAGGAAGGTGCGGTGAGGCGTGGAGCATGGGAGGGGCAGAAGTGGGAGCGGACCGGGCTCGAGATTTGCATCGTTTTTGGATGGGATGCAACAAATCGGAAGAGAATCTCCCATGCATGGCGTGGCTTAGTGCTTGAGTTCAATATGGCTTTTGGCTGACCATTGTGGGGTAGGTGCACCACTCACTTTAGTCTATTTTAGGGGGGATTGGGATGTTCACTGGGGGGTACGGGATGTTGACCCATGGCCATATGGCCATCGAGCAGTGACAAGGTCACAGGGCACTGGAGAAGTTCACCGAAGCGGGTCAGGTGCTGCGCATGGGAATCTCAGGCTTTCGCGGATATCAGAGAGCACTGGTGAGGCGCTCCTCTTGTTGGGTAAGCTTTCTTGGAAGGAAAACGCAAATCGGCCCTCTAAGCCGGTTGGATGAGTTTCCTTTGTCAGGAAGATCCGTCCAATTGCGAAGATATTTATATGTCATTGCCAAGAAAACCGTGACGATTTGTTACCCCCCATAAGAATTCAAGCTTGGAAGGTGTTTGAATCCATTTTGTTGATCTCCCAAGTTCTGAGGGTTGAGGCTTGACCAGGAATTCAGAGAGCTAAGTGAAGGCTTGGGACGACTTGAGAAACGTTGGCTACTGCACACTCAATGGGCCTTTCATTGCTTTTTTGACCGCTTACTCCCGTGAAACCACCCTTTGGTGGCTAAGATCTTTTTCAGTTTTCCGGGAGGGGCTATCCAAAAGCTTCATCCTACAAAATTGGAACCATCTCATCTATGACAAACCTTCACAGCCAGTTCTTTTTGCCGTCCCTATTCTTAGGGATCCTTCCCTGAAATCGAAATTACCAACTCCCCCAACGCGTTTCCCCAATCGACTCCAGGTGCTGGTGGTCGTTGCAATCTTCGACCCGCAAGTGAGGGGACAAACACCGAACGCGCGAGGGGGGCTTCCGAGGTGCGGGGAGTTGGAAGATGGGAGATCCAATGGTTTGGAGTAAATGGGCCCCGAATGTCACTCGCCTCTCGTGGGACAGCACCAGGAGAACCAATGCCTCATACTGGGCCAGTAGTTTGACGGTTTTCAGGGGGCATCACAGTCACAAACTGGGGTTTCTCTTTCACCCACCACTTAAGGTGTGACTTTTGACGATGGCGGAATGACGGGGCCAGTGGGTTTCAGCGTGGCAGCATGGGGTTCCGTAGCCATTTTGGCGTGAGCTAGCTCAAGCTGAGCCATGGATGCCGAAAGGCTCGCAAAAGTGGAGGGCGTTGCGGCGGCATTGAGCTGCTCCCTGTTGAGCATCGCAGTGATCGCCAGCAACCAGCAGCTCCAGACCTTGGACTGGCCTTGCTTTTTCATCACGGGCACCGCGGCGTTGCTTGGGGCTCTTGGCAACATTACATATCAACGGTGGCACGGCCTTGCGAGGCCTCCGGATGTGAGGTGGGTGATGCTGCGTGGCTTGTGCGGCAGCGGGAATGGCTTCTTGGGCATTTGTGCGGTGCTGGCTGGGGCTTACATGGGTTCCATCGCCGCCTTCCGCAGCGTTAACTCCATCGTGGCCTCGCTGGGAACGGTGGCGATGGGGGAGGAGTTCGGATGGATGCACCTGGTGTCTGTGGCCTTATTCGTCATGGGGGCCATTCTGACTGCGGACCCCGAAGAAGTCGTGGCTACCATGGGGTCGACGTTGCTCGGCAATGGCTTGGCTCTGGGCAGCGGCATCAGTAGCGGTTTTTCTGCTCTGATTGGCAGGAAGGTCAAAGAGGTTCATCCTTCGTTTTTGACTACCGCCAACTTGTTGCAGACGTGGCTCTTTTGTTGGATGCTGCACTTCATCATCCGAGTGCCCAGCGGAAGCTTTCAATCCATGGAAGGAGCGCGCCCGCAAAGCGTCCTTCTGTTGCTTGGCCTTCCAGTGATCCTGCACTTCAACACCATGTCGGGTGCCGTGGCGTCTCAGAAATGCTCCGCTGCTGTTGTCACCACCGTGAAAACTGCCTCGAGCATGCTGGCGGGCTTTTGCCTTGACTACTTGCTGCAGGGGCATGCGAAGCTGGTAACCATCCTGGGTGCCCTTCTTATCTTCCTGGCCGTGCTTGCCATGCTGCAGACTCAGCTCGGCAACTCCGCCAATTCCGCCCCCAAGGACATCAAGGAGAAATTGAAGCTGCTGCCATCGAACGGCATTGCCAATATCTGAAGCTGCTTGCGCTGTACAGGTGTATCCTCCTGGTGTTTGAGACCAGTTTTGTTTTCCCCAGACGTTTCGCGGCTTCGGCTACATTAGCACCACGGTCGTGTCTGGGTGATAATCTTCCAGTGTCCTGTATCCTCCTGGTGTTTGAGACCAGTTTTGTTTTCTCCAGACGTTTCGCAGCTTCGGCTACATTAGCACCACGGTCGTGTCTGGGTGATAATCTTCCAGTGTCCTTCGAAGATGGACACTTTGGGGCTCGTACAAGTACTGTTGAAGCAAAGACTCAACTCAGCGACAATGGTAGCCAGACATCAAAGCAGCGACATTATGGAGAGCTGGTTGCATCAACACATGCCCGCAAAGCCCTGCTTGTGTCTCTCAAAGCACCCAGGAATGTGATCTGCTTCCGAGCAAGCTGACAAACGAGGTTTCGGACTGCATATCCTGGTTTCGTTGTTGTGCATTGCATGCAACTTGAACCAGTCACGGTGCGTTGAGAGGAGAGCCCAAAGTCCAAAGGATCATACAGAAGGAACCGAACTGCCACCTGTCAAAGAGCTGATTGCCCTTAATTCAAGCCATCGTTCCTCTACAAACACCCACATTCTGGGCGATTTATAAGTGATCCTGGGAAAGAACGGGGAAGCTAACCCTAGATCATTGCGCAGTTACCGACTTCATGACGTGCCTCGTTCGACTGCTGGCTCAACAGGCAAGTCCCAGCCCTTGTCTGAAGATCACAGGGCATCGGAGACGCAGGTGCAAGATATCCGGAGATATGTGCAGATGCCTCTACCAAAGCTCTCTACGAGACCTCTGCAAACACAACTTTGCACTCCCGATGCACAGGGTGCAAAGGGTGCAAAGGGTGTAGAAAGACTGAGCCCATTGACTCTGGAAAGCGATCAAAGTGAGACAATGGCGATCGTTTTCCCCCTTGACCTTGGGCTAACTTTGGACCAGAAAGATCTGCAAAGGCCACCTTCACAGCTGACAAGAACTCCATCGGCCAATGGGTGCCGATCGATCCGAGTCGCCGTCCAATGAGGCCGATGAACATGTTGACGCGGGGGTTCCATGGGTGTATCCGGAAGGTCCCTGTTCGGGGTAAAAAGAGACACCAATGGGTGATTATTGGGGAAGTCCCTGTTTCGGGGGTAAAAAGGGACACCAAGGCAACCACACAGGTGACACTCTTTCTCAAGCTGGACCTGTGGTCAACGGGATGCCAGGCGAGAGTTGAACTTTTGACAAGCTTTTAGCGACCTCAGAGTCTTGCTGGCAATGCCTGAGTGTCTTCCTGCTTTGCAAATGCTCGACAGTTGTCAAGTCTGAAAAGTTTGCTTTGGGCCTCAAGATCATTAAACTGAGGTGGCACAACTCTTGGTGGTTTCACAGACTCCGTACATGAGGCTCTCATCTTGTAAGAGGTCCGTGGAATTGATGGAAGGAGAGCAGAAGGAGTACGCGACGCCAAGGTTGGGTTCCCAAGCCAGTCTGCAGGACTTATCCTCCTTCTTGAATTGGAGTTCGCGCTGCACAGACGTCTGAGCATACTGCCTCAACTGAGATGGAACCCGCCATTTCCCAAAGTTTCCGGATTGGAGAGTTGCGCTGAATCCATTGTCAGACTTTACAAGCTGACTTTTTGTCCCATGTGTGTTAACGCCCAATAGTGCGAACACAGCAAAAGGGTCCAAGGATAAACCAAACCCTACTAGGCCTTATTAAGTGCCGTTAGGCCGTGCTGGGTTGGGGGTGTCCATTTTGGATGCCTTTGGACAACCACAGGATTTGGGATGGCGAGTTATGCTAATATACGCAGATAAATCTCAGATAAATGAGCAAATCGTTAAACATGGGCTGGGCGGAGGGCTTTTCGCATTCCACTCAGCCGGTGTCATTCAGTTGCACATTACGGCCTTCAGTGGCCAGCTGCTTGAAGCCTTAGGAAGTCCCAGTTGATCCAGGTCTGATTTTGCACTGCCATTGCTATTGTTTCCCCAGGCATCACACTGGGTGACGTCGACGGTCCTAGTTGTCCAGCTGCGTTCCGTTTCGATGGAGAGGTGTTGGTTGGAGGGAGGTGTACTTTCCAGTCTTGTAGAACCCCCAGTAATTCAGAAATAAGGTTGTTTTCCCCCGTGCGACCTGATATTGGAAGGTGCTCTTTGATATACCTCTGCATTTTGAACGAATTTCTAGACATTTCTCCAGGGGGAATATGACCTCACCGACGAAGAGGCCGGAAGGGAGTCGGTCACCGATATTGACCTGGGCAAGGCGAGTTTGTGTGTGTGTGGGGATTCCTGGATATATTGTGTTGATCAGGTTTTGTGTTTGGCCCGAAGTTTGGTTGGATCTCTCACCCATTCCTAGACGTACTACAACTATTGGGACCCGCGCTGAAAAAAAAAAGCCTGGGACCCGCGCTGATTTCCGGGGGCAAACGCCAAAGTGGACTGCTGTCCAATTGGGCGTTTCCTCAGCAGGGCTCCTTAAAAGATACATTTTGCCCATTTGAAACATTGCTTTTTCCACCAAAATAAAGGGAAACCACCATACACAAGGCAATATTCAGGTGTATAATGCAAGGATCCCTGCTCAGTTGGGGAACCCTGAAGAATCACAAGCCTCCCGTTTGAGCCTCACTATGCCTGAAGAGCACTGGGTGATTGACAGGTGAAACCTTTCTTAGTGGGGACCAGGGTTTTGCCTTTTGACTCCATTCTTCTTAGAGAAACAGGGAGCTAATCCTGTACGCTTCCTGAAAGAATGCTAGGGGCCTTGTGTAGCAGTTTCCTTAGGAAATTCGATTTGGACTTGCAATCCAACCTTCTTTTTTTTTGTGTGTGTGTGTGTGTGTGTGTTTGTGCTTGCCCGGTTTGTAAGACACGGGATGCCTCGAGGCTGGGCGGGGGTTTGGGCCGAAGGATCTGGCCTCAGGGACTTGCTTCAGAGGGGCTGGAGGCAGCTGGAGCATGGGGCACGCCACATGGGGTTTGGGAAGATCCCGAAGGGGCCTGAGGGGGTCTGACCGGCCCTGGGAGGCAAACCTTCCTTCTTTCTGCTTAGTGGACAGCAGAACAGGGGGAAGGTCAAAAGAGCCCCAAATGGGCTTCAGAAAGTACCCCATACACTTAGGGGCGGGGATGCCCGAGCTTACCAAACAACTCGGCGCCCAACCGCGAAGCATCTTCTCTCAGCCACACGACGCCGCGGTATCTGGCATCAGTGTCTCCAATAGGGGCGCGTGTCGGGGTGGAGGGCGCTGTTAAAGTGTCAAAAGTCTGGAAACCGGTTGCCCGTTCACTGGCAGAGTCGCGGCTGACCGTGGACGACGCACATGCGACTCTGAATTGAAGAGGCGTGTGTCAACATTGCAATGTGAGAGGGCTTAAACAGTTTGGAGCAGACAGCTTGTCGGTTTGTCCAGACTGAGTGGTTTGTTTGGATGAAGCAAATCAGAGTGACCAATGAGGTTGCGAACTCCGAGCTTCATGACTATACTGTATGCTGAAGTCAAAAGGCACAGCCCTGGAGTTAGGTGGAGGGCCCAAAATTCCCATACGCTGAAAACACCCCATGCTAACTCCTTGCCCTAGCCCGACTGAACTCACCTTAAGGCACACCCCCAGTGTAATATAGAGGGCCCACAACTTGCCATCTGAGTCGGCTTCAAAATTGCCGTCATTTCGGCACATGTGGTTTTGTGAAATGTTCTCGCAAAACGATACGGGACGCTGACTCATATAGCTCATTGCTCTACCCAACTCACCTTGTTCAACAGTTTGCCCTTTGGGTTTTCCTGTTTCTTTTTGGAAGAAAAAGTCCGGTCAACGTCTTAGCAAGTCGAGGCCAAGTCCCTGGACCCGGAGGTCTGGGGCCTTCTGGCGCGTGCTGAGGTGGGCACTGGGAGATCCAACGCTCGTGGTTTGTTTGGGTTCTTGTGCTTGGGGGCTTAGCCCAGGGCTGTTTTTCCATCTGGATCTCATGGTCTGGCACGATGCTTTGTATGCGTTCGCAAATATGCCCATCTTCCGAGTGCTGCAGTTTGGTGCAAGGTCGCTGGGTTTCAGGTAGGTTGCCCTTTTCAGATTGGTGTAACGGGAGCCCAAACGAAAAGCACCATTATTTGGGTCAAGCATTTTGAGACTTACGTAGAGCTGGTTCAACCTGGTCATGAACCGGTTCTCTTTAGAGTCGGTTGAGCTGTTGCGTTTGTCAAAAGGCTTTGCCAGGGAGCCGTTTACCATCTGTGATAGTCGGCCAATTCTCGCAAAAGAGGGGATCACTGAAGGTGGGAAGGCACTGGGCAGAAGCTTTCGGATGGGTGCTTGCTGAGCATAGCACCGGGGGGGTGCAATGGTGAAGGTTGTGATCCTTGCCAGTGTTCATCAACTTGTCTGACATGTGATACGTCGGGTCTGGGCAAAGCTGAAAGATCAAGCTGCAGTGTGCGATGGACACTTGTTTGCTTCTTCAGCTCAGCAAAGTGTTGGATGTTCTCCTTCATGCATGTCGGTTTCCCCAATTGTCTCCCAAGACTGGGTTAATCATGTGACACTTCAGACTGTGGTGAGATGGAAGTTTACCCTCAAGAGCAAATTTGAGGAGCCCACGATACGTTCATTTCAATGGGCCCAACACAAGAAGTCCAACTATCTCCTGCTGCTCCAATTCTGCACTGCGTGATTGTGACCGCGGCCATGAACGCATGTAAGGGCATGATCAGAAATAAGGAACGCACCGAATGGACGAAGAGATACTCCATGATCTCAATGAGCTTCAACACAAATCAGCACGGCGGAGCGCTGTCCGTATCTCTGTTTGATTTCGCTTTGTTGTTGTAGGATATTTTGGAGACTCAGGAGCTGCTGCACGACCTTTTGTTTTGGGAGATTGATATGGATGCGTGTTTTTTTGACAAGGGTATCGCCTTTCATATGGCTCTGTAGTCAGTCGCAGCCCCAACTGCGGGATCGTCTTCACTTATCCACTGGGTGTGGCTTGTTGTCACGCTGTCCGGCCCCCTATCTACCACTCAGTCAATCATGGAGGTGGTGAATTCACTTATATACACGGTTGCTAATGCAAGTGCCTGTGATCAACAAAGCGAATCAACGACTCAGCCGTTCCACATGTGAGGGTTCCGGAATTCAGGCGAGACATCAAGACCGCCCCCACCGCAGAGGTTCTCAACACATCTCTAAGAGCCCCTTCGACCAAGTGTTCCTTAGTCTTATTGTGGACTTCAAAGGGTCCGTTTCCCTGAACAGTTCTCGCTCAAAAGATGCATTCTGAACACTTTTGCAAATCAAAGGGGTCGCTCTTTTCCAATTCGAA